AGAGACAGCAATACTACTACTAATAATAATGATAATAATAATAATATATATGTAATATTTATTATTATTATTATCATTATTATTAGTAGTAGTATTGCTGTCTCTTATACACATCTAGATGTGTATAAGAGACAGCAATACTACTACTAATAATAATGATAATAATAATAATATATATGTAATATTTATTATTATTATTATCATTATTATTAGTAGTAGTATTGCTGTCTCTTATACACATCTAGATGTGTATAAGAGACAGCAATACTACTACTAATAATAATGATAATAATAATAATATATATGTAATATTTATTATTATTATTATCATTATTATTAGTAGTAGTATTGCTGTCTCTTATACACATCTAGATGTGTATAAGAGACAGCAATACTACTACTAATAATAATGATAATAATAATAATATATATGTAATATTTATTATTATTATTATCATTATTATTAGTAGTAGTATTGCTGTCTCTTATACACATCTAGATGTGTATAAGAGACAGCAATACTACTACTAATAATAATGATAATAATAATAATATATATGTAATATTTATTATTATTATTATCATTATTATTAGTAGTAGTATTGCTGTCTCTTATACACATCTAGATGTGTATAAGAGACAGCAATACTACTACTAATAATAATGATAATAATAATAATATATATGTAATATTTATTATTATTATTATCATTATTATTAGTAGTAGTATTGCTGTCTCTTATACACATCTTTAGTACATAATATTGTATATATATATATATATATATGTGTATATTATAATATATATAATAATAATTATTATTATAATTATAATTATATTATATTATAGTTATTGTTATTAATAATAAAACAATAATAAGAGTAATAGTAAAAGACAGGTTACGAAAGAAGTTCAGCGAATTGGCATGGATGAATAGGCGATTTAAACAGTTCAATGGTCACATAGTGAGCGATGTGCTTCTACGAGAGAGGTGCAGAATACGCGACGATAAGATGAGCCGTGGAGAAAAATCTTTGTCCCGGAATTGAACGGAACAGATCAACGGAGCAGGATTCGAGGAGACACCGGGATATCCGCCTTGCCGCGTCGCAGCGGTCGTCTCGTTTCGTCGGCGGCGCATCCATCGAAACGCATTATACCGACGCGCGAAACAACGAGAACGGCGGAATAACGAACGTTCGTCGAATTCGACGTAGACGAGAGAGCCCGGTGGAAGCGCGAAATTAGATTGACCGACGATCCGTGCGGTTCTCCGCCTTTCCGCGATTGACTGGCGCGTGCGATTGCGATCGACCAGCTAATTTTGGGAAGCGATAACGGAGCGAGCCTAGATCCGCTGGGAGTTAGAAGCTACCCGGTTTAATTTCAAAGCCATCCGCGGAAGAGACCGCGCAGCTATCTCTGGCCTTATCGGTCGAACGGAGAAAAGTTATTTTCTCTCGACGCCCCGGCTTCCTTGGAAATGTATCCGATGTCGCGCTTCTATCCGAAACAGATATTCTCGGGCTATCCTCGAACGTACGCGGCGGACTCTCGATCGAGGCCGATCCGAATCGCGTTAATTACTTTGCCGTGTACGGAGACTTTTGTCACCGTGACATTTTTCCGCCTTTGTTTTTCGGGTCGTGCGCCTTTCGCGGACGAGCTTTTAGGTTTTTAGTTTTTTTAGTTTCTCGCGCGTTTACGTTCAAGAAGGCCAGTTACCGTGACGCGATCGATTGCTGCGCCTTTGTTCTGTTTTCGGGCATAATTAACTTCCTACCGAGCGGATAAGACGTATTCGAGCTTTTTTCATTAAAAAATGAACGAAATGAAAGAATACAAAAATTGAATGCGTCTCATTCGATAAATATGAAGCCACAGAAATTGGTCAACACACGATAACCGGCTCCGCTATGTAACAAATAACTTTATTTAATTTGTAAACTCGACGGTTGACGCGGACCGTATGGAGTGACAGCTGTTCTCGGGCAGCGTTTTGCCGTCACTGGGTGTCGGCGTGAAAATGTCTGGCGTTTAAATAATTTTTGCGTACCAATTCAAAAAATTGCACCAATCACGGTCGATGCCTTTCAGCGGAGCCGCTGTGCCGTAAAGTGGTCGCATCTGGTTTGGCTCGGGACACGTCGTTGTAGACGCTTTAATCCTTTGGAGTCTGATTTATTTTTCGTTAATTTGCGTTATGTCCGTAGTCAAGATTTTCGTACACGTAGATGCTAATAACATGAAATGTTCACTTCGTTAGTGTAGGCTATTCCTTTTAGATGCTAAGAGCTGGGACATACGTATCCCATTGGTTGCATGTAAACAAATATGTGCGTGGTATGCATTCTAAGATCGGTATATTCGTGTGTTGTGGATAAACGGGATTCATTTCTCCCAATAGGCGTACGAAATACAGTAAATTCTCCGTGATCGACACTTAGATTGTGCAGAAAATTGGACAATATTATTCGAGCTTTGCAGTTTGTTTATTATTTAATTGTCCATTTTTGTGCAGAATCTGAGCGTCGGTTAGGGAGTCATTACTGTACAATAAATTCTCCGTAATTGACACTTAGACCGTGCAGAAAATTGCACAATTTTGGAAGAGGATATGCCATTATTCGAGCCTCGCAGCCCATTTTTATAGTTTTTAACAATCTGTAATAAAAACAAGCCGCAAGGTTCGAACAATCGTGTCTCCTCTTCCCAAATTATCCATTTTTGTGCACAATCTAAGTGTCAACTAGGGAGACATTACTGTACAATAAATTCTCCGTAATTGACACTTAGACCGTGCAGAAAATTGCACAATTTTGGAAGAGGAGATGCCATTATTCGAGCCTCGCAGCCCATTTTTATAGTTTTCAACAATCTGTAATAAAAACAAGCCGCAAGGCTCGAACAATCGCGTCTCCTCTTCCCAAATTATCCATTGTTCTGCACAATCTAAGCATCAACTAGGGAGACATTACTGTACAATAAATTCTCCGTAATTGACACTTAGATCGTGCAGAAAAATGGACAATTTGGGAAGAGGAGATACGATTGTTCGAGCCTTGTTGCTCGTCTTTTATGGTTATCGATTGTCAACAACTATAAAAACGAGTCGCAAGGCTCGAATAATTGTGTCTCCTCTTCCCAAATTGTCCATTTTTTCGTACAATCCAAGCGTCGGTTAGGGAGACATTACTCTACAATAAATTCTCCGTAATTGACATGCAGAAAATTGGACAACTTGGGAAGAGGAGAAGCGATTATTCGCGTCTCGCGACTCGCTTTTACAGTCGTTGACAATCGGCGACTACAAAAACGAGCCGCAAGGCTCGAACAATCGTATCTCCTCTTCCCAAATTGTCCATTTTTGTGCAGAATCTGAGCGTCAATTGGGGAGACATTACTGTACAATAAATTCTCCGTAATTGACACTTAGATTATGCAGAAAATTGGACAACTCGGGAAGAGAAGCAGCGATTATTCGCGTTTCGCGGCCCATTTTTATAGTTTTTAACAATCGCTAACTATAAAAACGAACCGCAAGGTTCGAACAATCGTGTCTCCTCTTCCCAAATTGTCCATTTTTGTGCAGAATCTGAGCGTCGGTTAGGAAGACATTGCTCTACAATATAATTCTCCATAATTGACGCTTAGATTATGCAGAAAATTGGACAACTCGGGAAGAGAAGAAGCGATTATTCGCGTCTCGCCGCCCATTTTTATAGTTTTTAACAATCGCTAACTATAAAAACGAACCGCAAGGTTCGAACAATCGTGTCTCCTTTTCCCAAATTGTCCATTATTGTACACGATCCGGCCGTCGTTTACGGAGAATTCACCGTACACAGATGGAACACATATGTCCCGATAGACTCCAAAGGGTTAAGCGAAGAGTTGGCTATTCGCGGCGGCACAGTGAGAAGGGGACAGGAAGAGAATCTTTGTTCGGTGACCGAGCAACCAGGAAATCCAAACGGCCGCGCGCACGGTCGCTCGGTGCCCCCCGGCTCGTAACAACTTTATCGAACGTCTCTCCGTTAAGACGTAGTACCGAGTCGGTCGAAGATATCCTTCGGTAATAGCCCTCTCCGCCGCGGCGCATCCGCTCATTGTTACCGTCTATGGCTGTTGCGTGCTTATCTCCGACCTGAATTGCATCGACCGGATACGAGAGGTCGGTCGCCGACATTGACTGACGTCGAAACGCGGAAACGCCCCCGATAATTATGCCAGCGTCACGAGAGACGTCGATTAGAATCTGGCCGGAGCGGCGCGATTCCACGTCCGCGGATTCCCCGGTGATTCGCAATTTAGGTCGGGCAATTTCGACGAATCACGGTCCGCACGGTCCGTTTTTTCGCGAACGGCCGGACGGACGCGGCGATACGTTTGCGTCGAAACGACGGCGACGGGACGGGGATCGGCCGAGAAGAAGAAGACCGGACACGGCAATCTCGCGGCGCGAGCGTCCATCGAGACGCCGTTCGTCATCGGTTTCCGGGCGAATCTTGCGGGAGGAGGAGGAGGAGGGGTGTCTCGACGGAAACGCGCGGAACGGCCGGCCGATCGATCGCGAACGGGTCAGGCGACCGTAGTGACTAATAGATAGGTAATTAGCGGATAATGAAGTAGCTTTCCAGGGCCTGGAAAAATTCTCGATCGCCGGGGATAGAGCCGTTAATGATCGATCGCTGCTTTGTTCCTTGAGTTCGCGGTCAAAAGGAGCTTATTACGCTTATTAAACCGACTTTCTGGCTGATCGCTGCGGGGACCGGGGAGAAGGGTGAAGGACGAAGGACGCGCGGGTCTCGGTCCTCGTCGCTGTCGCCGTCGACGTTCTCCTCGTTCGTTCGTCCGTCGGCCGCCCTGCGATCGTCGTTCGCGGCGAACGGCCGCGAACGGAGCCGTCGAGGGCCGGCTAATTAGATGAATAAGATAATTCCACTTTTCCGACGATGGAACAAAAACTAACCGGCGTTACTCTGCTTTTCTTTTCCAGGTGCGGAAGATGTGTTCAGGTTTACGGGAAACGAAACGCACACAGACTACTTTCGGCTGGTGCTCCGGGACGGGAACTATCTTCTGGTCGGCGGAAGGTAAATAGAGGATTCATTTGGAGCGAGTGCTTTAATTAAAGGACCGGTTCTTCTTCTCGTTCTTTGGCGCTGGTTCGAGGGCCCGGTGTGATCGACGTCCCGGCAACCAGCCAGTCCGTCGACCGACGGACCGACCGACCGGCTCTTCCAGCAGCTCGTCGGTCGTCTTCGTCGGTCGACCGAGCTCGATCTCTCGGGTCCTACGGTTGTGTACGTGCGCGGAGTACCTTCTTTCCTCTCCTGGCTCCTACGAGGAAGCTCGTTCTCACGGACTTTCTTCTTCTTCTCCCCGAGTCTTATCCCTCTGCCGACCCTTTCAGCGTTGCTTACGCTTTCGCCTTCTTCCTCTTCGCGCTCGCAGGATGAATTCCGAGGGTAGCCACGGGGCTGCTGTTCTTCCCTGTTAATGAGATCGACCAACTTTATTTAGAAACTTTTCTGTACTCTTTATTTCGCGAACCTTCGAATCCGACGGCGCCGAACAACGCGCTCGCCTCGCCGGCCGAGACCGGGCGCGCGGCCGGATCTCTTAAAAAAAAAGTTTCCACTCGCGAAACGGAGAAAGACGTTGCTCGTAATTAAAAGGCGAGATACAGCGTTCTTTCGCGTACCAGTTCCGTGATTCCCGGTTTCGTTCGCCGAAGTCGCTCGCGATCCCTCGAGACCATCCCGCAACAGGGTGCCGCAACCCGTATCGATTAGGGCTGCCGCAAAGGTCGGCCATAATATCGATGTCGTGTGTTCTCCTGCGTCGGGAAACCAAGACGATATTGTCGCGAGAAACTGAAAGTGTATTTTCGATGCGAGATCGAGGCACTCTGAGCCGAGAATAGAAGCAACGCTTGATAATATATGCAACGTCTTGCAAGAATCTTGGTCTTGTCCTCTTTAGAGTTTTCGGTGCGATTAAAATATTGTTCGATGCAATACTGCACTTTTCTTAATGAGTTTAAATAGTTTAAATTTTTTTCAACGTATTATTTACTTTAAGAATATATTGTAATTATAATATAATATAATATAATGTAATATAATATAATATAATATAATATAATATAATATAATATAATATAATATAATATTATATTATATTATATTATATTATAT